AAGTGCCGGCGTTGCCTTGGTCGTTGGGCTGAAGAGGCTATATACATGTCAGAATTACCACTCCTCTACTGAAGCGTAGTGCCATACCTGAAGCCCGTTTGACTGCCTTCCTCGAACTGCTGGCATCCTGGTACAGCTTGCAACTGCTTGGTTGTGCTGTGCTGGCGTTGGGAGTCGTCCGGAAGCTGTCGGGATGTTTTTTCCAGTCTTCAGGAAATCAAGTCGCGACAAAGCATTTCAGCTTCCAACGCGTAGAACTACAAGTATTAGAGATGGCCCCAGCTAGGATATTGTTCCTGCATGGATATACGCAGTCTGGTAATACGCTCAGACACAAGACGGGTGCGCTGAGCAAGTCCCTGGGCAAATTCAGCGAAATTGTGTACCCAACGGGCCCTCATCAGCTGGAGATGCCAGATCCGAGTGACCCAGAAGAGCGTGCACGACTAGAAAAGCTTGATAATGAGGAGGGAGAAGGCAGCTTTGCCTGGTGGCGTGCAAACGATGAAGATTTCATTGGATTACCCGAGTCACTCGCTCTCATCAAGGACGTTTTGGAAACACAAGGCCCATTCGACGGTGTCATGGGATTCTCGCAAGGTGGAGGATTTGCCGCTATGCTAGCGTCACTGCTCGAACGCTCCAATCCACTTTTCAAGGTAAAGCACCCGCCATTCAAGTTTGCTGTCATCTTTTCCGGCTTCCGATCGCGATTTCCACAGTACGACTATTTGTACGAGCCTGCCATCAAGACGCCTATGCTACATGTCATTGGCAGAAATGATCCAATTGTCACGCCAGAGCGGTCACAAATGCTAGTAGACGCCTCAAAAAACAACACATTGCTGCTACACCCTGGCTCGCATTTCGTTCCGTCTGGGGCGCCGCAGCGTAATGTCGTGGTGGACTACATCGTTAACCACATCAGACCCAAGCGCGAGATCACATGCATTGTCGCTGCGACCAACACTCAGGGCATTGGCCGAGACGGAGGTTTGCCTTGGAGGCTCCGTAAGGAAATGGCCTACTTTGCAGCCGTCACGACAGCAGCACCGGAGGGCAAGATGAATGTTTGCATCATGGGTCGTAATTCATGGGAAAGTATCCCTGAAAAGTTCCGTCCGCTCAAAAATCGCATCAACATTATCGTAACCTCCAACCAGCAATACGAGCTGACTGGCCTTGGTATTCATTCTCAAAAGACGGCATTGGCCACCAGTCTAGAAGATGCCTTGCTCGTCATACACAAGCTCTACGCGGATATCGTTCACCATGTCTTTTGTATTGGTGGCGCACAACTCTACAAAGCAGCCTTGGCGCATCCTGATACACAACGCTTGTTGCTCACAAGAATAGACCGCGATTATGATTGCGACACATACTTCCCTGACTTCAGCCGCACTGGAGAATGGCAGAAGCAAGACCTGTCTGCACTTCAATCCTTTGCGCAAATCGACGTGCAAGCTAGCGATGAAGAGAAGGACATCAAGTGGAGCTATGAAATCTGGGAGCGTAAACAGACCACCACATCTCCTGCCGAGGCGAGACTTTAGGTGTCACAACTGGACAAGGGCAATGATGAATGAAGCACCAGTACGAAGCCTCTCCTACAGATGGTCTTGCATGACTGGCTATAGTTTTCAATCTGAGCTTGTTTTCAGCGTTTCACTCAGCAAATCGGACCTGTCGACCACTTTGCCTTTTCTGTGCCGTGCAAAACCTCTCCATGGACACTCAGCCATTGTGGCGGAGTAATGGATCCTTCCTTCTCGACTGTCTATACACCTGCCGCCCTGTACGGGTATGGTCGACGACCCTCCGTCGCTCTGATGCAATCAGCTTGTCTCGACAATAGTCTACCATGCAGGACTTGTCTAAGATTCTACAGCATTTTCATTACGTGACTACGTTTCACAGTGTAAGCTTGAATCCCTTCTGCCTCAAAATCTCCTCTGACGTCTTCCAGAGCTTGACTGCCTGGTCTTTCGTTGCTGATGCACTTGGCTTTGTCTCTTGGGCAATAGGCTGGAAGTACCTGCCGCTGATACCTTGGCTCCTGATTTCCTCTGATGTACCAAGGTACAGTTGCGTCAAAGCACCTTGAGGAGACGAGAGCAATGTACCCAACACCGAAGCGTTGAACCAGACTGTAGCTTCCGTCACAACTTGAGCAACCTTGCCGTACGATGCACCTATACCGCGGTTGAGGTCCGAGTTGATGATGCCCGGGTGACAAGCGTTTGACTTGATGTTGGGGAAACGATCTGCAAGTTCCATGGCAAAGAGAATGTTGGCCAATTTACTCTGCCCGTAACGCGCGATGGTGGAGCCAAGGTCGCCATTGACTGCTTCGAGGCTGCTGTAAGATTCTTTCGTTGCGGTAAAGGTGATGTGTGCAGCGGAAGCCGTTACGACAATACGCGGATCCTTGGAGTTTTGAAGTTTGGGCAACAAGAGATTGGTGAAGAGGAAGGGTCCAAGATGGTTGGTTTGGAATTGACTCTCGATACCGTCCTTGGTCAATTCATACGGCACTGCCATGATGCCTGCATTGTTGTACAGCACATCCAGTCTGCCTTCCTTATCGCTGAATGCCTTGGCAGCTGCTTGCACGCTCGACAGGTCTTGAAGGTCCAATTTGAGCCACTCGACCGTTCCACTTGGGTTTCGAGCACGAATCCTGGATATGGCTTTCTGAGCGCGAGCCTCTGATCGTGCGCCAATGTATACTTTTGCACCACGCAAAGCCTATTTGTTAGTCTTGCATCAACGTCACGGATTGTGGGAGCATACATTCTCGAGTGCAGTCTCGTACCCAATGCCAGTGTTGGCGCCTGTCACAATGACAACCTTACCGGTCTGGCTGGGCATCTTGGAGGTCGTGAACTTGTAGCCGTAGATGAGAGGATATAAAAGGCCCATGGTAGTAGTGTACTTGTATGTTGATGATCCAGGATGAGATTTATCGGGCCTTTATAGTCTACGCATCGAATGGTCCCGCTACAAGGTTTGTAAGCTGCGAGCGCGGGCTGACAAATTGCGAGTGATTGATGTATAAGCCCGACAAATAGATGGAAGGTTTAAGATCCGTGCACATTAGTAATGTGTCGGTGATGGGAAATGCGCAAGGGCTTATGCACCTTCTGAGTAACTGAATCTAGTGCTATAGACGTGCTAGCTACAGCCAAGTACTGGCTAGTCATAGGCAGCGTTCAAGCATCTCACATGTCAGGATAATTCGCTGTCAAAGAGATTGCGGGCTTGCGGAATTGCGGGACTAAAATTATCTAAATGCCGGTCGCTACTCGCTAGATTGATCCGCAGCTCGAGCTCGGTGAATTGGAGGAAGGAAAGGCCGACTGCTTGCCTTTGAGCCACGCTACTCAAGATGCTACGTCAATGTATGCACAAGCACTCCTCAAGCTGATCATGGCCATAGATACTACACTGGAATAAACGCCCGCACTGACTTGCAAACTTGTCCGTCAGAGGCGAAGATGCCCCTGAGAGAGGCTGAGACGGAGAGTCTCTATGGCACCAGCCCCAATAAGTCCAGCAGCCAGACTGACTGGAAACTACTCTTCGCCTGACCACTTGTGCAGAGACAGGTTCATCCAGTCGCATTCACGCCAGTCAACCGTATTGGTACGCTTTCCCCATGTCGTCGCAACCAGGCATGGATGAGTTCTCCTCAATGACGCTCTACAGTTTCAATGCCGGCCCATATCCAGCACGCGTCAGCATTGTCATTGAAGAGCTGAATCTAGGCGATCGCATCAACTATATCTTCGTGGACCTGCTCAAGGGGGAACACAAAACACCTGCATTCAAAGCCATGAACTACTCTGGGACCCTTCCAGTTTTGCGACTCCAGGATGATACGTGCATCAGCGAGTGTGTTGTGATTACTCAGCTGCTGGATGGTCTTCGAGGAGGTGGCCAATTGACGGGCAAGACACTCAAAGAGCAAGCTGTGATTCACATGACCACTCGACGCATTGAGCATGAGATCTTGAACCCAGCCAATACCTATTTTCACATTGCAACACCAGGCCTGGGACCAGCTATTGAAAAGTATCAAAACAAAGAGCATGGCCAACACGAGCTTGAGCGTGCATTGCTCGGGATCTGTCACTTCAATGACATTTTAGCAGACAGGGAGTACATTGCAGCCGACTTCTTTTCCATGGCCGACATCTGTTTCATTGCCGCATTGATGGTCTTTCAGATCTGGGAGCAGGATGCCTCTGAGGGCTATCCACATGTCATTGCTTGGCACAAGAGGATGTTGGAACGACCGAGTGTGCAGACTGCCTATCAGTTGTTCACGGATGCACGAAGCAAGCGGAGGGCCACACAGTCGTATGGGAAGTAAGTCGTGTCTTGATCAGCGTATTGCAGAAATAGGGCTAGCCGTATCATCTAAGAATGCTTGTTATCCACGTCAGGTACAAGGCAATCGTCATTTTATTGGCCATCTGAATTTCAATTGTCGGATCTTGACCACAGCTGCAATTGAAAGTGAACGGGTACTTCGAGACGTACGTGGTGGAGCTGATGAAGAAAAAAACCTTCTCGATGGTTGGCAGGTGAGCTAGAATGATGCACAGAGCTGACAGGTAATTACCTCTGGTCTGTGGGCTGACTTACCGGCGACCATTATGACAGCATGGACTGAGTGTTAGACCGCACAATCTCTTGTGCTATAGTTCCGGGACCAGTTGACTTTGATGGCAGTTGCGAGTTGAAGTGGTCCCGGATCGACTATGCAAAGATCGTGTCCTTAGAGACCACTGAAACAAAAAAGCCAAAGGACAACCACTGGTGAAGAAAGCGCACTGAAGGGAAGGAGATAGGCTGTGCTATGCGATGGCATGCTTCAGCTCATGCAGATTTGGAGTATGAAGAAGACAAGGGAACGGACTCACTACCCTCACGACGTTTGGTTTGTTGATTGTTGCGCCTGCTCCAGTCGAGTCCAAGGCCTCTACTGAGTGGCTCAGGCTAAGGAAGGACTAAATTTGCGGTCTCCTCACTAATACGGCGATCCTAACTACATCGCCAACAGGGCTGGTGTAAACTTCAACATAGTCCACCTGCTACGTGGGCTGGGAGACCAGAGGGTCAGTCGGTGGACCTCGTCGACCCATCTTCAGGTTTCACCTTCCGAAGCTGACGCATGTAAGAGGCATCCTAGTAGGATCATCAGACATCGAGCAGTCGACTTAGCAGGCGCACAATTTGCACCCTTCCTTGGGGTCATTCAGACTTTGGGCATATTTCTGCTCATCATGCTGCTTCCTGTCGGTCACTGAATGATTACCTTGAGTTGGTACGAAAGAGTGCAGCAGCGGACTAGTGTGAGGCTCGAGCAAGTAGATGACAGTATAATGGCACAGCAATGGTATAAGATGTCGCAATCAGCGTAGATCAAGATCCAAGCTGGTACGATCTATTGCAAACGCTATAACTCGCTGAAGAGGCATCGCCACTTCTTCCCATCTGAACTTTCCCTTCTCTGCGTGCGCGTCTCATCAACTCTACTCCCAGCAAGCACCCTTCACAGCTTAGTCTCCAGTTCTAGATCTAGATCAAGTAGCGACTCGATCATGGAAGTCCTCATCGGCGTACAAGGTCCCGGCTATGTCCTCCTCGCCTCAAACCTCAATCAAGTCCGTGGCATCACCATCATGAAACCCGACGATGACAAGTCGCGTACCCTCAACGATCACAACCTCCTCCTCTATTCCGGCGAAGCAGGCGATACCGTTCATTTCGCAGAATACATCACCGCCAATATCGCCTTGTACTCTCGTCGCAATGAAGAATTAGAACTGCATACGGAAGCGGTGGCTAATTACATACGCAAGGAATTGGCAGAATCATTGCGTAGCAAACACCCATATCAGGTGAATCTTCTTGTGGGTGGGTATGATCTTGTTGATAAACAAGCGAAGCTATACTGGATCGACTACCTGGGTTCAAAGGCACAGGTGCCGTATGCGGCGCATGGGTATGCGAGCTACTACTTGCTGTCAATGTTTGATCGACACATGACACCGACTACGCCAGTGGAGGAAGCTCTTGCATTGCTGAAAAAGGGATTCGAGGAACTGGAACGACGCATGCCCATGTCACTCGGTGGATTCTTGACAAAAGTCGTTGATAAGGATGGCGTGCGCATTATTGACCTACATGGCAAGCTGACGCCTGAATTGATGGTTCAATTTGAGCAGGAGAAAGTACATGCACCCGTTCAACAGGAATTGCAACCTCAGCAGCCAGAAGTATCAGCGTAGTGTGGTTTTTGTGTAGAAGAACGACGTGGCATAGCCTGCTGCAATCCAATGAATCTCCTTGCCAAGTTCAATCGGGTCGCGTACATCTTGTAAGTGCGCTGCACCACAATTGCCGTGTTCATTCCAGCCCCATGCAATAGCTCTGCCATCTGTTGTTTGTGCAAGGCAGTGTTCAGAGCCTGCGGCGATGCTAGTGATATGGTCCAGGTTGCTTGCATGCTGTGCACGATCTGACCGACCATGCGATTGAACGTGACCAGTCGGCAGTAATCGATGGAGCGTTGACCAACTTGCACTCACTGACTTACATGCCTCGAATGATTTACCTTGAAGATGCTTACTGCCTGTCCAAAGAACCACACGCGTTGCGGTGTGGAAGGCCGTCCAATGCTGACCGAGGCAGTAGTCAAGCACAGGTTCTGCTAAGGCTGCTGTATCCATCAGTGCTGGGTTGTTGACTTGATGCATGAGGCTTTTGCCAAGTGCACCGCGACGTCCTGCTCCAAAGCCGTAAAAGGCTCCATCTGCAGCTTCCAGCACAACATGTGTGACGCTTGCTTTTATTTTCTTGATGATCACTCCTTCAGGGAGACTGACCGCGGTCAGGTGCTTTGTCTCAAAGCATTTCCCGAGTCCGAGTGATCCTTTGTCATTGAAGCCTACCGCAAATAGGTGGCGATTATCTTGGACCAGCAGAGAATGCGAGAAGCCACATGCAGCATGCGTCCAGCATCTCCCTGGAGATAGCTCAGTAAAGCTTAATATATTGTCAGGCTCAGCTACACCAAGCTGGTTTTCGTTATTTGCTCCACATCCGTAGAGTCGACCAGTCGAGGTCAGCAAGAGTGTATGGTTGCCGCCACTAATGAGCTGTGCATCCCGCAGGCTGTCTTGATCAAGGGATCCTGGAAGGAGACATGGATGAGCTTGAGCAGTGTCTTGAGTGTGGCCTAGAGAAAGCTGCCCGTGACCATTTGAGCCGAGTGTAAAGAGTGGCATAACATGGTCGTCGTTGTAACTCCCAAATGGCAGCTTGACTCGTCGATATCCTCACACCAAGACTCCATGAACAGCTGAATGCAGGCTCAGACAGATGCAGCTTATACAGAACTCTACAGCTCACTGATTCAAGAGGGCGTCTCTGCTTCATCTCTCAAGCTCAAAGACTTTCCTGAAACAGGCCGCGGCCTAGCTGCCACACGAACCATCTCGCCAGGCGAGACATTGCTGTCTATTCCCTTTCGCCATCTCATCAATTTGAAGACGATCGCCAAGTCTCTAGGTACAGACTGGAAGCAGTAGGATTTGGCCATTTCAGAGTTTGAACTAATGGTAGTTCTACATGTCCTGCACATGCGGCCATTGCTGTCCATATACTGCATCATCGCCGTCTACATGAAAATTCATCATTGAAGCACTATATACACTCGTTACCGAGAGCCGAGGACCTTCAAGGTATACCGTTGACATGGGAAACACAAGAGTGTGAGTACCTACCAGTCTCTACGCAGACCAAACTCGCCCAACAACGCCTGCTTCTAAGCAATCACTACAGCCTTGCTCAGGTCCTCATCTCCAACACGCCCGTCTATGCAGACTTGAATCTGACATTCGAACTGTTTCGCTGGGCATGGCTCATTGTCAATAGTCGCAGCATCTATCAACAACTCTCTACACAATCAACAATAGATGACAATTACACCTGTGCAGCTCTCGTCGATATGCTCAATCACGCACCGAGCAACGTTCCGCATGCAAAACTACTCTATGACAAGTCCGGGCTGACTGTGGAAGCACAATCGTCCTATGTCGAGGGTGAAGAAGTCTGTATCAGTTATGGTGCGCATGGGAATGACTTTCTCGTGCTCGAATATGGATTTCGCGTACAACAGAATGCAGACAATAGTCTGGTGCTGGATGATCTCATTCTCGCCGATTTGAGTGATGCGCATGGTGAGCAATTGAGAGAGATGGGGTATTTTGGTGGATACACGACGGATCATCTCGGACGCGCTTCCTTCAGAGTTGAAGTAGCCTTGCGTGTTGCATTGCTTGAGCAAGATGAGCTTGTTGTGGATGGACAGGCACTGAGACGGGTCATGCAGTATGCTCAGGGTCTCAACAGTGGTCGCGACACGGAAGCTGCAGTCAAGGAAAGACTCACTCGGCTGCTTGACATGGTGGTGGCTCGGTCGACCTCAGCAATAGAGTCGATGCCAAACACCATGTCGAAGTCTGTTAAGGACATGATCAGTGTTTTGCATCAGGATGAGATTGCCATTGCAGAACATGGTCTTGAGCATCTCAAATTGTAAAATAGCATGAATGAATGATTTTGTGGCTAGAAAGTGCATCTAGTGATCTGCCTTTTTGCCTCCTGTCGCTGCCCATTAGCTTCATCTTTAACAATCCGTTTGCTCACCCTTGAATTTGGGGTTCTTTGGGTCGTTGGCATAGGCAGGCGAGTCCATCATGGTGGTCGCGAGCGAGTTGATGGCGAAGAACATGACAACGCCGCCGATGTAGAAGGGCATCATAGGACCGTTGACGGGCGTTGGGTATTTGCGCATGCCGAGGAAAGTCATGATCTCTGGAAGTCTCTGTACTGTCTCTTGCTCCTTGCTCTTCTTGCTCTTCTTGCTCCTTTGCTTTGTCGTCGTCCGCATCCTGCCGCCAGTCACGTGTTTTGCGCGACCGTGAGAATATTTCCAAAAAGTTGAGCGCGAGGAAAGAAGCAAGAAGAGTAGACCGGGCAGTATATCTGTCGCACTCATGTCTGACGCAGAGGAGGCACAGTCTGGACACTCGAGGCAGTCAAGTGTTGCTCCAGAAGAGATCGAAGCAACAGAGGCCCCCGCAGAAGTCATTCCTGAAGACACAAAAGCCACAGCTACATTTGATGACTTTAAGCTTGATGCGCGGCTGCAAAGGGCCATTGCAAAGCTTCATTTTGCATCTCCTACATTGGTCCAGGAACGGGCAGTTCCACTGATCCTCGATGGCAAGGATGTTCTATGTAGAGCCAAGACTGGGTCCGGCAAGACACTCTCCTATCTTGCACCCATCTCACAGGCGATTCTCCTTGCACCCAGCGCTGAGACGCGCGCATTGATTTTGGTACCGACAAAGGAGTTGAGTGAGCAAGTCGCCAAGATGGTTCAAAAGCTCTGTCTCTACTGTGCAAAGACTGTCAAGCACCTCAATATTGCAACGAGCAGCTCAGAAGCCATGCAAAAGTCATTGTTGCTCGAACAACCCTCTCTCGTCATTTCTACGCCAGCACGCGCTCTGCTGCATCTCAACAGTGGTTCCATCAAAGCCGAAACGCTCAAATTTTTGGTGGTGGATGAAGCGGACCTTGTCCTTTCTTACGGTCATGAAGATGACATTGCTGCACTGGCCAAGCTACTACCGCGTGGCATTCAGACGATTATGATGTCAGCTACACTAGATGACTCTGTCGATTCACTCAGCCAGCAACTTTGCAGGAAGCCTGTCATTCTCAAACTTGAGGAATCCGCTGGCAAGACAGACGCCAGTATGCTACAATATTACGTCAAGTGCGCCGAAGAAGAAAAGTTCCTTCTGACTTATGTCATTCTCAAGCTCAAATTGATCCACGGCAAGCTCATCATCTTTGTCAATGAAATTGACCGTTGCTATCGACTGAAGTTGTTTCTTGAGCAATTCGGCATCAAGTCTTGCGTATTGAACCAAGAATTGCCAGTCAACTCGCGACAGCACATTGTCGAGCAATTCAACACGGGTGTTTACGATATCGTCATTGCAGCAGACGATGCAGAAGTGATGGGCGACAAGGATGAATCAGATGACGAGCTCAAGACAGAAGCGACCACGACCTCTCGTAAGCGAAAGCGAAAGATCGACAAGGAATTCGGCGTTTCTCGGGGTGTCGATTTCCGCAATGTTGCTTGTGTCCTCAACTTTGATCTACCTACCACCACGCGTTCCTATGTCCATCGGATTGGTCGGACAGCGAGAGCCGGTAGATCTGGTATGGCCATGTCACTCGTCATTCCACAAGACAAGTTTGGGAAGCACAAGGCAACCATGCTCGCGACATCCAAGCGTGATGACAAGGTACTGGACAAAATCCTCGAAGACCAAGCAGAACGTGGTTATGAAGTCAAACCCTATGCTTTCAATATGGCGCAAGTGGATGCCTTTCGGTATCGTATGGAAGATGCACTTCGCAGTGTGACACGCAGTAGTATTCGTGATGCGCGCGCAAAGGAGTTGCGAGCAGAGATTCTCAATTCAGACAAGTTGAAGGGATACTTTGAGCAACACCCAGAACACCTTGCCGAATTACGTCATGATGCTGAGATTCATGCGAAACGTGTACAGCCACATTTGAAGCACGTACCGGAATATTTGATGCCCAAGGCGGTCGGTGCAGGTGCCGTGGCAGCAGAGGGAGAAACACTTGGATTTGTTGGTTTTAGAAAGCAGGGACCAGGCAATCGTATTCGAAATGCTGCTTCTGCGAGACGAGGTGGACGTGGTCGTGGTGGCAAGACGCAAGGTACAAAGCGACCAAAGAAGAGTGATCCACTCAAGACTTTCAAATGAGAGATTGCTTGTGCTTACGAGCTATTGGCCGTCCTTTGATTGTCTATGGCATGATATGATCATTTTCAGAAGCACAATTTGGCAGCTACCTCCCCTGTACAATGACTCATGGTTGACCCATTTACTCAAAGCGCCATACAGCATTAAATTGATCCAGTACATCATCTCGAATGCTCATTTGATTCCGGTCGGCAGAGTCGGCACTGAGTCAGCAGCTCTTTATTTGTCACGAGGTGTATGAGTCAGAGTGCCCTCGCATGCACTTGCTCGCATGCGAGCGTTGCAAACCCCTGAATCCTCATGGTCTACGCCGATTCTGCGGGTTGGCTCGATTTCCGCGCCGCTCAAAGCTTAACGTGTCCAATTCTGAATATAAGGGTTCGCAATCGCAATGGATGTCCTCTTTCGCCCTAGTATGCGCTCTTCCACCCTAGTCAATCAGAGCAAGACTTCCTAGCGGCACTGTCTCGTCCCTCTGCAGATGTTCAACTTGCAGATGCAGACTGTTAGCGGCACACTCATGCTCGCGCAGGCGTCCAGCTCTCTGTTGCTGTCCGCCTTTCTGTCGACTCTTCTCGTCAATCACGGCATCACGCCTGTCTCTGCCAAATCTTGCAAAGCATTTTGGCTCACTCTTGCCGATCGGCATCCCGACGTGGACGCACACAGCGAAAACTGCCAGTACGACCTCAAGCACGGCTCCCTGGACGAAATTCCGCAAACCGTTCCCAGCACTGCAGACGATCATTCTGCTTCAAGCGAAATTCACTACAACGACCAGTATCTCGCCTGTTATTATGTCAATATGACCAGCGCTTGTCAAAAACACGGCAAAAAGAATTGGTTCCAAGAGCATTACATTGACCTCCAACCCAAGCTTGCTGAAGGAGCTCTGATAGGAGTGTTTTGTGGAAACAAAGAATGGCGCACCCACCCCGAAATGCTCCCTCGCAATGAGCTGCCAGGCAACCAAGTCCAATGGAAACTCACAAACGACCACATCTGTCCCTCGAACACAATTTCTGTGGCGCCAACTCCCGCCTATTGGCTCGAATACAATTCTACTTGGAATGACAAGCAAAAGGGCTGTCCTTTCATCCTTCAATCTCAAACGGGAGTCAACAAGGCCAATTACTACGAACAGAACAATTTGAACATGGGAAACACTTACATGACTGATTCCACATTGGTACGAGACGACAATTCCGACATTGTTTTACGATCACCATGGGACTCTAATATCATCGAGACTTGCCATTTTGTGCGCAAGACTCATCAATATCGAGAGTGTCCTGACTCTGGTGATCCCAAGAACGACTTTTTCCAGGTCATCATTCCTAATTTCCCTTTATCACCAGGGGTTAATGATCTAGCCGTCTTTTGCAAGCGAAAAGGCGACACGCGAGTGCAGCCAATCTTTGAGGCGACAGGCTACAAGCCCAGCTGGGTTCTCGACAGGTCCACAAACTCGTGGATTTTTGAGGTGGTTCCATCTTGAGCCTCATCCACCTTCTTGACGTGTCTTCAATGCCCTTCTGAAGAACTTCTTTCTTCATTGAACCAGGTCGATCGACACGCTGATGTGCTCGATATACTTTTCAAGTTTGTAGTCAGTAGACTACATCTGCCAATTTCATCTTCTTTCAAACATCTCAAGCAAAAGCAAAGCCAGTGACTACCATGATTCCGACAGCAGGCATTAGACACAATAGATCACAAATGCAGACAACAAGTGAGCACCTGGTTGACATATATCTCTAAACAAGTCGATGATCATATGAGACGCTCTCGTCCACAAGACACATAAGAGATCCGATCAGCTTCAACAAAACCCAAGAGCTGCTCAACCTTGATTTTGTCTGCATGACGGTCCCGCTGCTGCAACACTGAGAGGGCAGCATCAAAAACGACGAGAGTCTGTTGCAAGTCAAGTTTTCGAGACTGCTCCTCAGTCATAGGTAAGATGACTCTGGTTGCCCCTGCATCACTTGTCGCCAACACAATGGCTTGCCCGCCACAGTGAATAATTTCTCGTGCTCGAAGAGATGTTCCAAGAGCACGTTTGACGTCGTTGTAAATGATGATCTCCAAATCTTCCTCTTGTGCAGGTTCCGTGCACAGCTTTACGCCACTGACTTGACGGGCCTTGTTCAACAAGGCGACATACCTTTGTTGAGGATGATGTCCATCCCCTTGCAGCAAGCCAACATCTCGTTCAAGCTCTTCAGCCAAGCGAACCCGCTGAGTTGCCTCAGTAACCATCTGAAGCAAGGCGAGATTGTAGACGCACCGCGCATCCAAACACCAGACATGGCCCGGCTCTTCCTCCAGCAATGCATCAATCATTTCAAGTTCCTGCTGCAACAAAGCAATCCGTGCTGCTACATCTTGAGGAGCGAGAGGGAATTGTTCAGCTGGGCCAGAGTCTGGATTGAGTAGCCATTTGTGATAGAGCCAAACAGACTGATCATCTGGATCAGTGAAGAGGGCATCTTTGAGCAATGTCAATTCGTCTTTTAGCAGTTGAGCACGTCTCCCTTCTCGTACATCTGCAGTATCGCCTGCTTCAAGCAATAATGTTGGAATGAGTTTCGTTCTATTATGCCAAGCGGAGAAATTTGAAAAGTTGTGAGAGATGGCAGCGGTGGTGTACTCAAACTCACGTTCTGCCAGGCTTCGCTCTTCAGCTTGTTCCAGTTGGCCAACCACATACCGACGATACTCCCAGACGTGAAAGTTGCGTGCATCTTGTTCTAGCATACGCGTGACAAGCATTAACTCTCGCTGCCAATCTGGCCAAGGACATTGACCGAGGCACCACTTGCGGTGGACCCAAAGGCAGTATACTTTTGGGTAATCTTGAAGAATCGCTTGGAGCAATTTGAGCTCGCTAGTTATGAGATCTTGCTTGGCTTGAGCATCCTTGTCACAAGCAGGAAAGAGACCTTTCAGGAAGATGTTGCGTCTGTAGTTCCAGATGGTGTAGTACTCAGGATTCAGCTTGAGCAGTGCCAGAGTATTTGCAAAGGCATCGGAGGAGTAATCCTCAGCATGACGCATAGCATTGACTGTATCGGAGAGCTCTTTGTATGCTTGTGCCCTTTGTGTATCTTTGGCAAGTTTTGCAGCAGCTGCAGCAGGATCGAGGATAGTCTTACGAACGCCATGGCCGCCGCCGTAGCCAGTGACAGGTGCGTCATCTGTGCCTTCGTCGCTGTCCTCGGCAGCTTCAGGCTGTGACTTGAATAGAGAAGCAGATTGAGCTTGGGGTCCATTCAGCAAAATGGCCTGCATATCAGACGGTAACGGGAACCCTGCACGCGCCATGATTTGGAAAATTTCCGGATCAATCTGCCCATACGCACCGATACGTTCTGGAACAGGCCTGACCGCTTCGGATGGTCGACCAAGTCCAGACAAGGCGGCAAGTTGTGCTTGTACCTCTTCTGCAGACATGTAATTTGACTCATCCTCACCAAATGCCGCCATCGCCGCTTGCTGATCATCTGTGAAGCCTGCCTCTTTTGATCCGTGCACCTTCCTTTCTCGCTCAAAGCTCGGCTGCTCCAAGGCTGCTTCACTTTGTACGAGACGACTCGCTAATTGCTGAGCGAGCGATCGTTGCTGAGTGGAGATTGCAGCAGCTGGATTACTCCCTGCAGAATGCGCATCGGAAGTCTCTCGAGACATAACAAGTTGTGGTGTATCTCCTTCTCTCCAAATTGCAAGTGGATCCACCGGTGTTTGTCCTTCAGCAGTAGCTCCTTCCTCGCGATCTGCACGGATGAGTGCTTGGAATGCTTCAATAGTAGCTGGATCGACGGAATCCATACGTGCTTTGAAGTCAGCATCAGGCGTTGTTTTGTCCTCATCTGATAGAGCAGGAGATGGAGTCACAGGCGTTTGCTGGGCGCTGATAGCTGACTCTGCCGTTGCGCTGCTCAAGAGCTGATTGACGTCGCGCATAGGCTGCGGCGCACGCAGCAATGAATCATCAGGCGCCATATCTTGCGCATCGCCAGCAGAAGCAATGTGTCCGTATTTGCCTTGCGCATGCAAGTCAGTCTCGATATGCGCAAGGGCATGATCATTGGCTTGCGCTTGCGAGCTTGATTCAACAGAGGGCGGTTTTGGCATGGGCAGCTCAATGACTGGTTCATCTGGCTCTATAACTGACGCTAGCATCTTCACAGCAGTCGATGTCCCTCAGGCTCAGCTTTCGCAGGTGTGTGCATGGTGGATGGAAGCGTTTGCGATTGCGATTGACGTCAATTTTGATATTTTTTGATTTTCTACGAGATTCCATGCAAGCATCATTGTGAAGTAAAGAACCTTTGCCAGTATAGGAACAGCATCCAGTTAGTCAAGAGCTCAGCAGCCAGATGAAGAGCATCTAGCGGATAGGACTGAACTCGCAAGCCTTCATAATCTCACTCTGCATCGACGTCACAAGCGGCACAGTCTTGTGGACCGTATCAGCCCATCCATCAATCTCCCAACACTTGTCTCGAGCAGCCTTTCTAGCGGCAAAAGAATCAAACTGCCAGATATGCGTCACCGTATTGAGTTTGCCGAGTTGTGAGAACCAAGCACCGACGGGTGTCATGACTTGTTTGCGTGCTTGCAAGCCACCCTGCCAGTGCCGTTCCCATTCAAGCAAAGAACCCGGAACGAGCGTGTATGTACGTTTCTCAAAGATTCCACCGAGTGTCTGTGGTGGGATTGTATTGAGCGTTGCAAATTCTTGATTGAGGCTGTTTGTTTGCTTTGTGATGAGTGGATGGAGTTTCTGCCGAAAGGCAAGGTATTCCTTTGCATTGCGTGCAATCTCTGTTGTTCGATCATACCCTGCGTAGCCCTTGTATTCCCAGATATGGGTGAACTTCCATGTTTCGCCGACAATATTTTGCATCGAGCAGACGTGGTGGACTTCATGCTGTGGATTCTTGGCAATGAGCGGATATGCTTGCCGGCTTTCTGTCAGTAATCTGTTGTCGTACCATGAAGACTTACATCAATGCAAGGTATTCGTCGACACACTCCGGTTTGACTTCATGCGTCATGATTTCATGGATATACTTTCCCCTTGCAATCTTCTGACTAAAGTTGACTTCCCGCGTTTCAACAGCCTGTGCAATCTCTTCTTGAGATTCACGATTGCCATGCAAGATACGGTGCCATAAGCTGTCCTTTCTCGAAGAGGTGGTTGAACTACTGCACCGGAGTTGTTGAACTGGCAATGCAGATGCGGATGCCATGGAAGACCGCGAGAAGGTCGATACGGATGTCGTCCATCTCGCCTGCTTCATCATCTTGCCTCTTCTTTCCTTTCTACCTGCGCTCCTGTAGTGTTGGATGCTCAAGCTGTCGCGATCTGGCGCGGGGACGCAAAACCAATTTTAGCCGAGTGAAGTTCCGGGCTAACCAGATATATAGTGTATATATACTGTATATCTGCTCTATTTTACGTCTTGGCCATCGTCGTGATGGTCGTGTTGGCGGGCAAAGGATAAGAAACGGGCTGCTGACCGGCAGAGGGTATTCTGGTCACATTCTGGTTGACTGGCGGCTGCAACATTGCTGGCATTGGCAAACTAGCAGCTTGTGGAGTACTCGTTGTGCTCTGCTGTGGAAGGACTGCCGGTGCCCCAGACATTGGCTGAACTGCAGCTTGTTGCTGTGGTTGTGGAGGTGCGACAGGAGCAGCAGGAACAGAAGCAGCTGGCTGTTGATTTGTCAATTGACCAGAAACTGGCGGAGTAGCAGCAGCACCATTTCCAGCGACACTTGGCTGCTGCTGAAGTGTCGAGGGCAACGTAGCAACTGCTTGCTGTCCAGCAATAGCACCTTGACCACCAGCCGCTGGATCCATCACAGGAGCAACTGTCCCCAATCCTGCAACAGGTCCTCCAATGGCAGCTTGTAACCCTTGTACTTCACTTGCCCGTGCATCCCTGGCAGAACGTACAGCTCTTGGTTTCAGAATGACCAATTCAATGACCAGCAAAACAGACACCGCTTGAAGTGCCAGTAATGTCAACAAAAACAAGCAAAGCCATAGCCTGCCACGTCGCTGAAAACGCGACATGTGCGGTGTTGGATTTGCAGGGATACCGACATAGTCGATACCACGCGTCGTAGCGTAATGTGGACGACTACTGACCAGGACTTCTGTTTCGCCGACTTTCGATTGTAGATAGATGCGTGTATGTGAGCGTTGGTATGGTGTCAACTTGAGAAGAGGTTCAAGTTCATCCATGATGTGGGTGAATGTGTGTAGCTCTAGTAGGTGTAGATTTATGCAGAGAGTCTCGCCGGCATGCTGGACATTGATACGATGGCGGCTTGCCTGTGCCATGATGGCTCAACGATGTTCTCGACTTTCAAGCAGTAGCGAAAACGAGCGCAAGAGTCCTTCTTGTGTCCTTTTGCTCACCAATTGACAGGTTGTTGTGACAAGTGTTTCGCAAGCATCCCGAGGCATTCATTTGTGTGCTCGACCTCGAGCCCTCAATTGAACAAAGCTTGTCGCTTCGAAACATTAACCGTTGCAGTCACTTCGGGACATCGCAGGGCTAATTCCAGTCATCATCACTGTCATCCAAGTCTCGTCGTCGTGCGTTGATAATCTTGGTCTGCTGCCTGGCACCCTCTTGTCCTGCAATTTCCTCCAGCAATCCAACCAACTCTGGTTCTGTGATGCGCTGACGGACCTGACCAGACTGTGCCATGCGGATAATCAAGTCTTCTACACCTTTCGCCCTGTCTGGCTTGACAATTGCAATCCTCTGCAATCGATCGCGCGCTGCTTGCTGCTTCATTATCACCACTCTTATTGACAACAGAACAATAGAGAAGACGTACATCCAGAATCTGAGACAGCATGTTGAAACGATTGTTTGCATCTTGCTCGCGCTGGGCTGCTTGCTCTTCTGCAGACATCCCAGATTGGCCCCCTCCTGCGCCTGCTACACCACGGCCACCGCTGCTGCTTCCGCCGGATTGGCCTGCCTGGGCTTGCATCTCTGCGATCCTGGCCTGTCTGATCCTCTGTAGCTCGTCTGCGTCCATGCTGATTAGCTGTAGCTTTTGGTCTGTTGCTGAGGTTCTTGCTTGTCGCGTTTCAACTTTCTTTTTCTGTTTTTGGTCGAAAATTCATCAGATGCCACGGACACGGACAGACATGGACAATCACATCGCCAACCTGCTCAAGAAGCAGTCTATGCTTTACAAGCAGCTTCATCCAGTAGTCTACATCTCTGGACAAGTCAGAAGAGTCTATATTGTTTCTTTTATATTCGTCTTCCATCGTCTCAAGCCTTTACACGTGTGTTCAGCAGCGGAGCAGGGCACGAAAATGATGACGATGTCTGCAGCCTACAACCGTTTTCACGTCAAATTCTTCTTCTCTGCCGTACAAGGCTGTCTATTTACTACTTACTAGACGCTATACATCATGGGAGCCCAAAGACGCGTAGTCATCTTCTCCTCCCTGGCACTCGCCTTGTATGGCTTTGATCAAGGCATGCTCTCTCTGGTCAACACCAACACAGACTACCTACATACCATGGGGCTCGCTAAAGAGTCACCCATGGTCGGCGTGATCGTCTCTGTCTACTATCTTGCCGCAGCTGTAGGCGCTCTACTTGCTTCTAAAGTAGCAGACACGCGTGGTCGGAAAACAGCCATCTACTGTTCCCTCATCTTGACAACCCTCGGCAACCTCATCATGTTTACTGCTGGACTTGGACCATTGGCGAAAGTCAGTCCATTGGCTACTATGATTGTCGGTCGTGTCGTCTTGGGTCTTGGTATTGGCGGCATTGACGCCGTTATTCCAGTCTACTCCAGCGAATTGGCTGAATCGGGCAGTCGTGGTAAAGCACTCGCACAAGAGTTCCAAGCCAACATTGGCGGCCTGAACCTCGCTTTTGCGCTCAATCTGGTACTCACGCAAACACTTGGCAAGACGAATGAGTGGGCATGGCGCGTCCCAATTGTGTCGATGCAAATCTTTCCGTTGGCTCTTCTTTCCGTTTTGCACAAGCTTCCTGAATCACCTAGATATCTCATCTCCAACAGCGAGCACGAAGCAGCACGCGAAGCACTCGAAACAATCTATGGAGAAGATGAGGCTGAGAGCAAGCTCAAGAGTCTACAAAAGTCTGCTGATGAGGAAGGCGACGAGACAATCGACTACAAGCATATGCTCAACCCAAAAGACGATGCTTTTCATCCAACAGTCATCACCATCATGGGTCAAGTCAACCAAGCCCTCACTGGTATTGGTGCTCTTTCAGTCTATGGTCCGCAGCTCTTTGAGCTCTTGGGCAGGAGTACCCAAGTCGCAGAATATCTCACGATGGGCAACTATGTTCTCTACTTTGCTGCTATGACACTTGCGTGGGTCTTGATTGACAAGCTTGGCCGGAGACGGTTGCTGATTTCTGGAGCGTTCACAATGGCTGCCGGTTTCTTGTTGCTTACAGTGTTCGCATACCTTGCAAAGAGATACGACACACAGGCCTTGTTCTCTATATTAAAGCACAAGAAATCTCATTCTGGCAAGTCAGACAATCAGGAAACGATACAGACGGGAACCAGCATCGCAGGCATCATCTTGCTCTACGCCATCACATCAACATTCGGTATCACCTCGCTCTGCCCCTGTTTCTTGATTCCATCAGAGATCTTCCCCATCACCGCACGCGCACAAGGGTCCGCCATTTCTGTGGTCATCTGGGGAATCTCCAACTTTGCCGTGACACTCATGACGCCCATCTTGTTCAACACCATCACCTATGGCGTCTTTGCCGTCTTTGCAGCAACCAACCTCTTCTCTGCACTATGGACGTGGTTGTACTTGCCTGAATCGGGTGGTCGTAGCTTTGAAGAAAATCAAGCGTTCTTCAAGACTGCGAGTGATGAAGGTTCTTGGCGAGTCAAGCAGGTGGATAAGCAGTTTCTAGGCATGCCGCGTGATGATGAACATCAGGGCGAACGGAGTCGTCTGCTTGGTCGTGGCAGATAATGGCACGCATGATGGAGCACACAAGGGGGACCGAGAGCTGTGTGATCATGAGGCGTGGCAGCTTTCATGTAGATCAGCAGACTGACTGGTAATCGCCAAGGCTTGTACATGTTTCGCTTTCTTCAAGCTCTTGGATGCGCATATGAGCTTCTCGAGATTCAGTATGAAACAATATTTGTCAATAATCAACAGCTACTGCGGCTCGCAACTGTGCAAGATGTCTTGATACGGTCTAATGATACAAGTAGAAAATGAATAGACACACAATTGCGCATGTGCCTGACAAACGCTCATGAATGTTCGCACAATTTTTGTCTCCCTTGAACGGTCTCGTTGGGGTTGAAGCCAAAAAGATGTCTGTCACTGCAGCAGCTGACAAACAGCTAATCTTATTGCAGCTCGCGACTGCGCAAATGTCTCCAATATCGTACGATGAAACAAACATCAAACAGAAGGACGTAGGGATATGCGGTCGAGCGCACTCGTTCTCGCAAAGTACATGTATTTCGGAAGCAAAGTTGTAAATTCATTGAGGCAAACAACAAACACAAATCAGCATGGTCTGCAGGTGGGACCTCGCAATCGCGTTCGCAAAGAACCGCAAAGCTGCCGTCAGGAATCCAGCCAATGAGAAGCCTCGGAGCCCTGCTCACTCTCTAAAGGAGTAGCTTTAGTCCTTAGTGCTGCAACAAAGTATAAGAAGACACTTCTCCCATTTTCATACTCTCAGTCTTAGCTGCATAAATCGCGGCCGAACTTGCATATCCGACCCAGTGGTCCAAGAAGCGATATTACGCGTCAAAGCTCACAAGTTCCCCAAATGCTAGCTTTGCTGGCCTTCATTTTCTTTGGCCGCGTTCTCGCAAGTCCGGCAGCTACAACGTGCTTGAAAAACGTGGCCTTCCATCACATACTGGTATTGCACTTTCTTCAGCACATCCCGGCAGATATCGGAAATGGTAACGCAGTGTGTGAATGGACCTGCAAGAGCTTCTCGAAAGAGATCTATTCGTGGCATGTTGGCTCACGATTTCTGTCCAACTGCGGAGTGCATAATTTCGATGAAAAGGATCCCTCATATGCGTCCAGGGTGGAGACGAACGCTTTCCCGTGGTACGGTACACAAAACTGTTTATGCTCCATGGAAAGTTATATTCCAAAGCTCCGAGATCCTCCAGCAACCAAGTGGTGTCGTCTGACCGAAATCGAAACCCGGATTGGTGCGATATGGAAAGCAGCAGAAGGCAAAAGGCATAATGTGAGCGGCTACTCTACACTTCCTGGGGTTGATGGATCGCATGATGGCTCATCGACGACATTCCATTACCAAATTTTGAAGGACTCTGTGGCCACGCTGGGTATCGACATCCCTCCGGGGTCTATCCCTTGTTGAGGGCCATCATCGTTGGAGTAGGATGAAATTGCTCTCATTCTTCAAGGCACCACTCGAAAGCAGTGGCAATAAGTGTGAGCTCGAAATTCAGGATATTCAATTGTGTCGCGATAACTTGCTATTTCCCTTTACACCCATCTGAACCTTGAACTGATTTTAATCGAGATTGGCGGATATGCGAGGCTGTAGTCGTAGGTGATAGACACAGGCACGCAGGGCAGCTGCAGATAAGACTTGAATCGAATAGGGGACAAGAGTATAGCACTCTTGCCAGCTAAGACTAAACTAAAGGTCACGTGCATGGGCGCTGACGTGGCAGAGATATAACAGCGGAAGCAAGTGATCAGGGGATGCACTTTTTGAATTCTTAACAGATTTCGAACCACTGCGGCGCGTCGATTCAAGGCCTTGCTTGATCTTGACAGCCATGTTCCTGCCAGACGGTCTCCCAGCTCGAGATGGCCAGCAATGTACGTTACATGAACGCTGAGCAGACACTCGAGCCAAGTCTGTTCGACAAGCTGCCGCAAGAAATTCTCGACAAGATCATCGCCCATCTCTTTCCGAGCAGCAGGAATCTCGGCAATCTATTGCGTGTCTGCACTGCATTCTACTATGCCGCTCTACCACATATCTATCAGGCGCCCAATGTAACGAACACGCAGCCTTAAATCTCGCATCCGACTTTCCCGCACCACATGCTCTAGCAACTCATCGCGGCCCTTCTACCTTCCGCCCTTCAACGACGCTTATCACCTCAGCACGTTGCCTATCGTCCCGCGCCTAGCTTCCTCGCTTCCGGCAACGCTCTGTCACGTTGTCCTTACTCGCTCTCTTACTCGTCGACGACGTCTACCACGTCGTCCCTTGTTCTGTCTCTTCCTTATCTTGCAGCTCGGACATCTCCACTGGGCTCATGCAATCTCGCTTCCCCTCTTCTTTCACTGTTCACCTGCTGAGAGTCGGCTCCCGTGGGCTCCATCCCCATCATCGCCATCCGCTCTCATGCTCGTACCTGGTAGACATAAGTAGGCAGCCTTCCGCTGTCTTGTTCCTTAGTTTACAATTTCTATTCTTGTCCCCTACATCTCGCCCAAGTCCTGTCTTCAGCACAAGCATTCGTCCTGTCCTGTTCGCCCTTCGTCACACTTTGTTTACGAAGGCTTCCCACACGATGAGGACGAGTGGATCCCTGCTCGAGAGGCCTACCAGAATGCTCCGATTCTTGTTCACGACTTCCATCTCCGCAACCCCGATGCTGCTGTCCCATCCTACGTCAAGCTACCCACTCGACCAAGTGCGCTTCGAGACGCAGCGCCTGGAGGAGGAGGTTCTGTAACGAACACGCAGCCTTAAACCTCGCATCCGACTTTCCCGCACCACATGCTCTAGCAACTCATCGCGGCCCTTCTACCTTCCGCCCAGTCTGATGTGCCTTCGCCTCAGGCCGACGGGCTTCCCTCTCGCCAAGCTCTTCTTGTTATGCAAGAGACCATGATGCAGCGCATTGCACAGCTCGAAGCCTTCGCCGCAGCTGCTACCGCCTCAGCAGCCGCCTCACCACCCGTCCCTGCACCCACACCAGCAGCCAACTGGGCCAGGACGGCCGTCAAGATCGCGGACCCTAAACCCTTCGACGCCGATCTTCTTGGTCAAGACGTGCGCAACTTCGCCGCATCTTGTCGCCTCAAGATGCAGGCCTGCCCTTACCTCTTCCCAAATGAGGGCATAGCCATCGCCTGGATTCTCCAACTCCTCCAAGGCGATGCGGCGAAGTGGCGCGACTCGCGTGCAGTAGCGGACCCCACTACTGGCCTCATCTCGTTTCCTGGACTGCCAGATGCCAATGCAGTTCTCGACGCCCTCATCCAGTCCTTTGCAGTCCGCGATCCCGTGTCAGATTCAAAGAAGCAGCTCGCCACCCTCAAGCAAGGAAAGGAGACCTCCGTCAGCGTCCACCTGGCCGAGTTCGAGCGTCTCACTCTGGTCTTGAATATCACTGAGGAGACCAAGTGCGACATGCTTCTCGGCACACTCAACGAGAAGTTCACCGAGGCCCTCTTCAAGCTCGACGAGGTGGTCGACAACAACTACGCGGCCTTAGCGCAGCAGGTTGTCAAGGTGGAGTCGCGTATCCAGAAGCGCGAGAATCTCGCAAGGCGCTTGAACAATTCCACTGCGGACCTCGCCAGAGTCGCAAAACGCGACCACCCCTATCAACCTCTGCAGCAGCGCCTTCGCCCTGTTGCCTCGACGTCGCAGGCGCCTCAGCCGATGGAGATCGACTCTGCCACATTCCGGCCCTTGACTCCCGCTCAGAGGCGAGCGCGAAAAGAGCAACGCATCCGGGACGACCTTTGCGTTTACTGTGGTGGAGCGGGTCACTACCAAGACAAGTGCCCAAAGAAGCATAGGCAGTCCCCAAATGGACCCGGCAGGAACCAGTAGGGCACTCCTGGGACCGGGCCATTCAGGACCCTCACGCGCCTTCGCTTTTGTCTGTTGTAGACGATAGCGCAAATCTCTGTCTTTTTTCCATCTCTCTGCCTCCTCTCTCGTCTCATCCGCAAAGTGTCTTGCCTGTTACCGTCTCCCATGGTGATAGTTCCCTCGACACGTTTGCCCTCCTAGATTCCGGTGCAACAAGTTGCTTCATCAGCGCAGCTTGTGTGGCCCGAGGCCGCTTCCCAACCGTGACCCTTGACAGCGCAATCCCGCTGAAAGGCTTTACGGGCAAGGAACTCGAGTCTGCCTCCCAATTCACGTCTCCTCTTCGCATGACCATTGGTAACCACCAAGAATGCCACCACTTCGTCGTTGCTGAGCTCTCCGGCTACGATCTCATTCTTGGCACCACTTGGCTTGCGAAGCACAATCCTGTTATCGACTGGTCTGCGTCCACAGTCCAGTTCCCGGCCTCGTGCAAGGCGCACATCAATCAATCGCCTGTCCAACACGATGCCGCTCCTCCTGTCAATGCCAACGTCATGCAGATCCACATGGTGTCGCTCAAGTCTTTCGCCCGGCTAGCAAAAGCTCACGATGTTCTCCACATCGATCTCGCCGACATCTATTCCGACATCGAGCCAGACCTGCTACGCGCGATACCGGACAAATATCACGTCCTCCTCCGCATCTTCTCGAAGATTCAGGCTGCCCGCCTTCCCGACAATGCTGCTTACGATCACAAGATTCCTTTGTTCCCGAGCACCTCGCCTCCTTCGACGGCGCTTTATCCCATCCCTAGAGAAAATTTGGACCGGCAGATTACCGGCGGAAATTACCAGAAGAATACCGGCAGATTACCGGCGGAAAATCCCTAACTCTGCAGGCGCAGTAATACCAGCAGACTACCGGCAGTCTACCGCCAAATTACCGGCGGAAATAAGCACGCCTTTACCAGAGCCAACCGGAGGATTACCAGAGGATACCACCTGCCAACGGGTGAAGCTCAATAGAAGCTGTAACGACAATAGGTGTAGCAACTAGACCATCTACGACACACTACAGACGTGCTGCCGCTATCTTGGCCTTCTTGGCAGACTTGCGCGCCTTTTTTGCTTGTGATGCTGCAGTCTTGGCCTTGGTCATATTAGCGCTGCCTTGCTCAGCGTCCTGTGCTCTGCTTGATAGCTTTGATGTTCTTCCAGACTAGAAATTCATCGTTAGTACGTCATGGCAGGAGCAGCAGAAGTGCATACCTTCGAGACGAGGAGGCAGATCGATCTTTGCTTGACTTCTGGCCACTGGTCAGTCTTATAACATCAAAGATGGGACGGACTTGCCCTGGAAACATGAGAGCTCTTGTTTGCTTGACGCTACATCTTGTTAGCCAATGTTTGCTCCGCATGATAGGCTCACATTGTGCTGAGACGAAGTTGGCTGCAACTGAATATGTTAGTGAGGTACATCAGGCAGAAGGAGGAACCCACAACTCTCGATGCAGCCTAGTCAATACCATTGTCTTCAGAGAAGATGGAAGCGGGTGTCTCGCAGCGGGTATTCTCGTTATCGACGCGAGAAGATGACACTCCATGGGCAACGTCGTGCTCGTGGCTGATATCATCGTCTTGGGAAGAAGCAGCAGTAGTAGTCTCTCTGTAGACTTTCGCTTTGCGCGTCTGTGGCTGCGTCAGCCAGGAGCTTGCAAGGTACAGAGACACTCTCACCGCTTCATTCATCACCTTCGTGTGGTGCTGGCAGATAGTCAAGGCAATCCAATGTCCATGAGCTCGTCCCAGCACAGAGACAGCCTTTTTCAAGTTGTGAATGACCGTCTAGAGCTTCCCAACGTTGCGGTGACGCCATGTGACCGTCCTACCTTGCGCATCGACCACAATCTGGTGAGTGTCTATCAGGTACCGTGCATGTGTCGTGATGTTGATCCATGTGGCGTCGCGCAATGGCGTTCGTGGCCAGAGTCCCATTGCGAGCTCGAGTCGTAGTGTCTTTGTAGAGGGACTATCGGTTCTAGAGACGCCATGCGACGTGCGCTTGGGTCTTACCGGCATATAGATACGCTCAATTGATCCTGCGAGCCTGTTGTAGTCGTCCAGACTGTCTGTGGGAGACTCCTCTTCCTATCGAGGTCAGTCGAAGGTATCGCGCTTGCAGCATGCACTGCTCACGCGAGTAGAGGACGACATCTCTTGAGAAGAGTGATGGAGCAGCCTGAGATGCCACAGGCTCGAGTGTGTCAGCTCAAGGACAGTGAGGTGTTGTCTACAAGCAGCAAGACGGTGCAGAGCAGATGCGTGTGCTGGTCATCCCATCTCATCCTGAAGTGACAAGACAAGATGAAGCAAAACGCCAAAGTCGACGATTCTCAAGATTCGCTAGCACTACACTCTTCCAATTTTCAGCCTACAAACGCCAACTTGTGATCGTGGCCAAGAAGCAAAGTGGCTAGTCGTCAGAGCACCACAAAGATCTTCGTTGTGAAGTGTGCTGCGAATGACCTCCATTCACGAAGCAAGGTCGGGTTCAGTGAGCAGACGCATGAAGCGCCCGAGATTGACGACAATGCGACAGTGAGCTATGGGGAAGTTCTCTATCTGTTCGAACACGATAGCAGGCATTTGGCGATCATCAAGGTCTTGAAGACCAAGTTGTCGTGCGGCGCAAAGTCTCTCAGCAAGCAAGGACATATATTGCAGGTCATTGTACCAGTTTGCCGTCTTCTTGGACCAATTGGCCTATTTGGGAGAACAGAGCTTGACAAGAAAAGAGCGGGCAAGCTGCTTAAGCGAAAACGACGCTTACGAGAGCAGAAGCACTCTTTATGGATAGCTGAGGGCTATCGAATCCAGTATAAATAGCTTCTAGATTTGATGATGAGCGGATGTTGGCCTCTGTTCACTTGATAACAGTGATTGACTTGTGTGTTGTCTGCCTTTTGGCGTGGCTCAGGGATCCGCCTCTTCATATCCGCTGGTTTTCCTCCGGTGTGCAAGTTTGGAAGTCGGTTGGCTCCGGTAATCCGCCGTGCTTGGAAAATTTCTCACGGTAATCCGCCGGTTGGCTCTGGTACACTCCGGTAAATTTTCCGTAGGGCATGAGTGCAGAGGAACTGAAAATCCTCAAGGAATACTTGGACGAACAGCTCAAGCTCGGCAATATCTCTGTTTCCGAAAGTCCAGCTGGCGCATCTGCCCTTTTTGTCAAAAAGAAGGACGGGTCTCTGCGTCTCTGTATCGACTATCGCGGCCTCAATGCTATCACCGTCAAGAATCGGGCTCCTCTTCCTCTCATCTCTGAAACCTTGGATCAATTGCACCATGCAAAGATTTTCACCAAGCTTGACCTCCGCGG